CTGTCCCTCTGCCTACAAAGTCAGTCCTGCTGTGCCATACTATGCCCACTAGCAGAAGTGCACTTTTAGCTCCAGTGGCCTAAAAGTTGTACTTCACCTCTGGGGTTGAAGCGCATAATAACAGATAGAAAATAATTATTAATTATTATAAATATAATAATAGAAAGAAAATAGAAAAGGGATTCTCATAGGCAGTTGATACTTGTGGACAGACCTTACTGTTCTTACTCTTTTATCATTGCTCCAAGTGACAGAGCTATACAGTGTACCCCAAAGGGTTGCCCAAAATACTGGGCAGCTCAGTCATGGAGAATGGATAGGCAGCGCACTCATGTGAAAATACTCAGTCCCTGCCTTAGGCTGTAGCTGAGTTTTGGCGGATAGGAGGAGGGAAACACCCAAGCAGTTACTGGCAGTGTCACCAAAAATATCTGCTTCAGCCAGTGCTAGGATGACACATTCCCTCCCTGTCTCTCTATGGGCTTTGCCAACACAACCATTATCTCCAGCAGTGCTATGTTTGCAGATCAAGCATTAGCTGCTCCTGTGGAAGTGCACAGGTCTTGGCTTCATGGACTGTCTTGGAAATTTTATAGTGAGCAGCAGCACTTCTTGCAAGCCTGTGGCCTAGCCAGGCCTGCCACAAACACTCAGGTAGGGAGGAGGCACCACGACTAAAGGATGTTCACCAGTGTTTCTGCTGTCAGAGACAAGAATCAAGAAGTGTTTTCCCTGCATGCTGCTCTCCTCTCTGTTTTCAGCAGGGAGATTAACAGGAAATTAAGACACTGTGTCTCTGCCTAGAAAGCTTAGCGTCTGCAAGAGAGTATCAGGAAAACTACCCTGGGAGAGACGTGGTCCTGCACTCTAGCCATTGACACCATAAGTACTGAGATCAGCAGCAAAGAGCAGAATCTGAATGCCAGTCAAGTGGCCCCTGCATCAGGGAGGCTTGGGGGCTTGCCAGACATGGGCCTGTGCCAGGCAACGGAGACATACCCAGTCTCCCTGCAAACTGAGTAGCACTGTGCTCATCACTGTACAGCAAGACAGTGCTGCAAACTCTGCCCAAAATCTGGGTAATTTAGTCTATGCTGTGTGCATACTGCTGCAGACAGAAGGCTGCTTCCAGCCACACCAGCTAATCAGGCACTAGCCTGGATATCTCTGCACTATGCTGCCACCGTTGCTGTGACTGTAGCTAACAAGGCCTTCAGCCCTGCAAGGTCAGCATCACTGCCCCGTGGCTGTTCAAAAGCAGAAGGACCCGGGAATGGCCGAAATGTGGGATCCACACCTCTCACAACAGAGCTCCCAGGTTCTTTACACATCCATAAATCTTTCCTTTTTTCATTTGAAGCTCTGGCCTTAGAAGGTGGGCCAGTACTGGGAGGTGGAGAGTCCTTATCCCTGCCTCATTCACATGCATCCGTTTCCTTTAGGCTTGTTCTCAGATGGCCATCCCTTACGCTTTTCCCATTTCTTTGCCGACTTCCTAGCTCTGCCTGGCTTTTGAAGCACTAAGTTCCTCTCAGCCAACGAGAGATGTTACTTACCTCTTCCTCTTTCTGATATACAGAACCTGAAGGAGAAAGAAAACCATTGTTATAACAGTCTCAGTAAGACAGGGAACAGCTGGGAAGATAAATTTTGGGCACACAGCACACAGAGTGGGTGTAGCAAGTCTGGTGTCACTGCACACCAAGCAGGGGGGAGAGAGAAGTGAAAAGTGAAAACGGATACACGAGTGTAAGCTTGAGAGCACATCAAGACTGACGTTAAGCGCTCAAGTGGCCTGTTATCAGGTGTGTTAGTAGCAGTAATAGTACTAGGTATGTTATTATTAGGTGTGTATTAGGCGCAGCACAGCATATTTCTGTTGGCTGCAGGATGTATGTTGCTATTTAGAGTGAATGAAGAACCCTGCCTTTGCAGTTCTCATTTGTAGACTTTCTACAGCACAGAAGCAGTTAACCCTCCCCAATACGAAGGGAAGAAGCAAAGAGGGCATGCTTGGTGACTTGCCTCGTGTCAGCCAGTAAGAGTGGCTGTGCTGGGAGGAAAATGAGGCTTTTGGCTTCCAGAGCCTTGTTCTGAGAACTAGGAACGCTCAGTGTTGCTCTCAGGAACTTATGATCATTTCCAGGATAATGTTTCCAGGTTCTCCTAGGGGCTTTTGGGAAAACTCCTCCTTTGGGCCTGCAATGAAATATTGCAGAGGTCCCTTTCTGTAGGTTCCTCTGGTGGCTGTATTGTTGTATTAGTGAAGCTCTTCCTCATATGAGGAACTGGAGCTTGCTGCTACCTCCGTTCTCTGTTGGCAGGTAAATGACTGGTTATACAGCAGAAAAAACAAAAACAAAAAAAAAACCACCTGCTGCACTTGCATTGTCCATGTCAGGCCCAGAACTACAGTTTCTGAAATCTTCTGCCTACAACGTTAATGGCAGGGTTAGTTACACACAGCAAACCCTTGAGGACTCTGCTCATATTCAGCAAGTAAAACTCCAGAAACGCAGCCTGGAATGAATCTGGCTAAAATGGATTCAGGTTGCTTTAATTCAGAAAGGGATGTCCAGAGAGGAGATTAACATGGTTTCAACAGTCTGCTTTCAAATTTAATTTGGGTTAACTTTCTTGCAGGTCCCCTGCGTAGACAAGGTTTAAATCAATGCAGCTATTCCAATTAACAAGTCAGAGCAGAATCTGCTTTGATTTCTTTTAACTTAACTTCCTATTGCTATTAAAAGTGCTTACACTACATATGGCTTCCTCTAGGCCTGCTGAGCATTCTGCCTGGAGCAGACCTCAGAAGCATGGGACACTCGTAGTATTCCTATGAGCATATATATACTACTACCAGATGCTGTTCTCCACGAGCAGTGGAAAAAGACCTTAAAAGGAAAGGAATCTCAGAACTATTGGTTCCCACCATTTCTGGGTAAGCCTGTAGTACAACACAAAGAAATTATTCAGCCCAAACCAGTCTAGAGCCCCTTTGTCACCCTCCACCCTCAAAAGAGGGAGAAATATTTAGCAGATCTCTCTTACCATAGCTACAGCCAACCCAATCACAGTAATGATTCCAAAGGACAGCAGCATTGTGCTCATGCCAGGTTCACTGCTGGCCACGTCTGGGATTTTGGTGCTGTTAAAACTGGTAGTTTCAGGGCTTACGGTAGCTGTTTCTGGTACAGTCACATCCAGTGTTGTCCCTGGGTCTGGCTTGGCTGTGGTGGTGGTGCTCTGATACAAGTCCTGTATAGAAGGCGAGCTGTTATTCATCCTGCCAGCTGCCTGAGAACTGTTACCAAGCAGTTGTTTCTACCCACTCAAGACACTTTGGTTCCAGTTACAGTAGTGGAGAAGTGCCCCTCACAGCAAGGACCATCATGTGAGAACTACACTGTTGCACCATTGTTGATGGGTTTTCTTCATGGCAACCACACTGGTTTCTACCTAGAAGAGAATGAGAGAATAGATGCACAGTGCAAAGCTCTTAGAGATAGACACAACCTTTCCCAAAGCTCGCTGATTCACCAGTACAATTTTTGAGAGCAGCTCACAAATGCCCATTCAAAATAAAAACAAATGATTTTTTAAGGGTACTGAGAGCCCCCAAAGCCCTGCCTGATTCACTTGAAGTTAGTTACACGCTCTCCCCTCACTGCTTCCGTTCTGCCTCCTTGCAGGCACTTGGTGGATCTACCTAGGGCCAGTCTCAGAACTCCTCTCAATTTGGTCTGCCCTCGGTGAGCCAGGAAGCCTCCTTCCATCTGGGGAGAAATAGCATCTTCCTGCTTCTACTCTGTCTCTTGCTTTTAATTTAGGGAAAATGATAAAGATCCCTTTATCAGTGGGAACAGATCCCATGAAATGGCACTCAGCTCTGAGGCATCCATACCTCAGGATGCTTTTTACTGAATCCAGTATACAACTTCCCTGTTGTGAAGTGACTGGTAAGTCATTGCACTATCCATTGCATCGGTGTTCCTCAGCCCGTGCGCTCTGGTAAGGCAGCTTCCTTAAAAGTAGTGGGTTGCACTAGTCCCCCATCTGCTACTAAAGAGAGTGAATATTTCTCAAGTCCCCCATGAAAGCACCCACTCAAGCTTAGTCATGCATTGCTAATTATCAATATTAATTTTAAAGTGGGTCCTATTTAAGATTGGCATTGTGAAATTTGACAGATCTATTCATGCTGAAAACATGAAAAGCTCTGAATGTTTCATGCTTCTATTGTACAAATGATTAGATATTGCAAAATACCCTGAGATGATCCTATGAGAAGTATTTGCAGAACTTTGTTTATAAAATCACTGCAATAACATTAGTCCAGGAATTGCGTCACTGAAAATGCAGCTAACTCTGAAGTAGAGCAGTGTAGACCCCAAGAACTATCCATAGCAGTCCTCTGATAATTACTCTATAGTTTTGTAGACATTACATCTCCAGCAGCTGGGACATAGGGGTTAACGAGCTCTGAACAGAAAGTGATGTGCCTACAAAGAGAAATGAGCTACTGTTCTGTTCCATTCTGTTCTCTTAATAGAAATACCATGTTCTTAATAAATGGTAAGGTTATTGCACAGTTTCCATTACTCTGATGCCCTACTGTTGTCCATACTGCATTAAGCAGTGTGATTAACATCTGTCACTAACAATTGGAGCAGAGAAATTGTATCAGGCAAACAGCACCAGGCTTCCTTGTGATCAGTCAGCAGCCTGACTAGCCATCTTGGCTTGTAAAGCACTTGTCCTGCATCTCCCTGAGCATTTAAATCTCTCACCACACATATAGGACCTGTCTTAATAGTTCCCCATAAACAACTTTGTGAAGCAAGAGCTGCTGGGAGATTTTCAGGGTCTGAGGAGACTGTGAAAGGAGAAGTCAAACTCTCACAAGTTTATAGGGAAAAGTGAAGATAACATTTCTGGTCTGATCTCACCCAACAACATGCTGGGGCATGGGTTCATTGCAGGCTGAATAATAAAGTATCCTTCACTGATTGCAAAACCACATGCACCTGGTTCAAACTGTATAACACCTGGATTTCCCTAGCCATTATTGACCACAGTGGAGCTCAGGGGTATTAGACAATCAGGCACAAACATGGCAAATTTGAAATCTGAGCGTATCTGCATACTTATATCCTCTGTGCCACTGGATCTGGCCTACTCGGCACCACAACAGCAGCAGCTACTGCCCAGCATGGAAAGGGAAGGGAACTGGTAAGCAAGTATTGAACAGACAGAGCAGCCACTCAGAGGGAATCACTGATCAACAGATCAGGGAAACTCTCCACGACAATAATTCACATTTTTTAAAAAAAGCCACCACCAAGCAAACAAAAAGTGGAAAAAGAATCTAACTCAAGGCAGTGAAGCAGACCCAAGGGTTTTGCAAAGTATGATCTGGATCTCAAATAGCTCCTGAATTTTGGAAGCATAATGGATTTGGCCTCCACTGAATCCATTGTCAGTTTTGGAGAACCACCTGAACTTGGATGTACAAGCTGATCATAAGCCTTTGGATAAGGCCCGTTCTGTAGCAACCAGACACTGTGCTGCTGTGCGTTGCTCCACTGAAATAAGTAGGGGTAGGTCAAAATTAGCCAGAAGAAGATCTGATCTAGTGGGGATGAGGACTCTTGTTCATACTATCAGAGCCACGCTGAAGGATTCTCAAGCCCAGAGACCTAGCTCTAAAACCATTCCTGGCTGAGAAGGTTTCTGACATGGTTTCGACAACTAGTTCCCAGGTCAGATGAGAGTATTTCTGTTCCCAAGCCTGTTCTGGTCCAGGCTAACCCTGTGGTCAGCTGGGAGGCTGACTGTAAGTATGGCCCATGGCTTACAGTGGTAGAGCTTGTGGCAGATAATCTTTCCTACCACCATCCTTTCCCAGTTGTCATCCTTGTGCTAGACGTTTGATCTGCAGGCTGGGCATGCAGATCTGATGGCTGCTCTAGGGCTCAGGATAGCTACCTCTTGCTGGCAGGTTTCTGCAGAGTCCGTGCACAAACGTAACAGAAGGAACAGGAGAGGAGTCAGATCCTCAGCTGCTGTGAACTGGCATAATTCCATTGACTGTGCCAACAGAGAACTCCTTACACAGCCAGGACCGCTTTGTGCTGGGCTTGCTGGCTCTGGGAATAAGGAGAATATGTTTATTTCTCTCTTATGCCAGCACTTCCAAACTGGTCTCTGATAGCAGAGTTGCAGTGGCCAACACTCTGAGATGCAGAACATTGTGTCAGGCACTAGCTTGAGGATGCTCGGTTTTCTCAGTCTTGGTTTTAATCTCTTTGTGCTGCAGTTTCCTCCTGGATCTGACAGGAATAGAGGTTTGTGTCACAGGGTCTCTGGATGAAGAAGGCAAACAATAACTAGTATTCTCAGTATTACTTCAACAAAATGAAGTGTCTCTAATAAACCAGGCATATTGGTAACAAGTGGCATTTGGTTATTGCTGGCTATGGGATGCAGCTTCCTAGTAGGTGAACATATGTCTTCCTCTCCCATTATTGCACAGATGACCAGGCGTGAGGGCTGCCCCCAGGCTGAGGGGTAACACAAACTGCATGTACCAAGTCCCAGAGCACCTCAGCCATCACCCTCCCATGGCGCCATCCCATCCCACCCATCAGACACGTGTGGAGATGGTCCCCAGCAACCTCACTGCCACGAGCTGACAGGAAATCAAAATAAAAATGATCACCCTGACACCTAGCCCTCTCCTGGCTGAGGAGAGGGCACCATGTCGTAGCTGGTTTGATGGCCTTACGGCTCTGTCCGTATGAGAAGTCACTTTTCTCCTATCCCGTAGCAAAGTTTCCCACCTGGCAGGTTCCCTGCCCAGGTACGGTCCTCCCAGCCCGCCTCACCGGCCAGGCCGGGGCATGCAGCCCCTCACGCTCAAAATCCGCCACCACAGCGCTGCAG